GTATCAGTCTAGGGGACAGTGTGGGGGTAGGGCTCAGGGGTGGAACTTGCCGTTAATGCTTGCAAAACTGAGGTGCTCCCCTGAGCTTCCAGGTGGGTCACCCATTGCATAGCCTCGTGACATGCTGTGTCTGTGGTCTCCACCAGGGTGTCCTGCCATGGCTGTAGGCCCTCTGCAAAGCTGATTAAGTTAAAGCTGAGAAAAAGGGAAGAGGAGGCAGGAAGTGATTAGAACAGGCCAGCCTTCATAGAATTACAGTGACGGTCACTAAGAGTCAGAAGCAACTCGAAGGCACTAGTACCAACAATCTCGGAACTATTCAAGGTTCTCAGTGAAGACTCCATCAGAGAGCCCTGTCGTCACCTAGGGCGAAGACTGTGGGTCCTCTCAGAATGAGGTACGCACTGAAGGTTCTCATTGCAGGCAGAGAGAAATTTAACTCCCTGCTCAGCCACTCACTGACTATGTGTCTACAAATCACCACCGTCTTTTCAATGTTAGCTTAAATTTTAACTTCTTTAAATCCTAGTCTCTTTATCTGGAAAATGAGGATCCCTGGTAGCTCTTTGGGCTAAGGATTGGGTTGCTAACCATAGGTAAGCAGTTCAAACCCACCAGACACTCATTGGGAAAAAGACGAGGCTATCTCTTCCCATAAACATGTATAGTCTGGGAAACCCTAAAGAGTACTTCTACATAGGGTTGCTATGAGTTGGAATCAACTTGATGGCAGTGTTTTGTTTTTTCTTTCTTTGTATTTGAAAAATGGGGATTTAATAGCAATATCTCGAAAGGTTGTGAGGATTTAAAGAGCTTGGTGCCTAGAAAGTATTCAAGAAGTGTTAGTTGTTATTGGGTGCAGTCAAGTCGATTCCAACTCTTAACAATGCCGTGTGACACCGTAGAACTGTTCTTGGATGTAATCTATACCAAAGCAGGTATCAAGTCTTTTTCTCTTCAAGCCACTGGGAGGGTTTGAATCTCTGACCTGTCAGTAACTGAGTGTTAACCCATTTGTACCACCAGGGTTTCTTAATAAATATTGACTCTTATTAAGCCTAAGGAGCTCTGGTAGTGTAGTGGCGGCAGTTCGAAACTACCAATTGTTCCACGGGAGAGATGAAACTTTCTGCTCCCGTAAAGATTCACAGCTTCAGAAACCCTGTGCAGGGTCGCTAGGAGTCGGAAGTGACTCATGGCACACCACCACCTTATTAACCTTAGGGCCAGACTCTCCTGGTGCCTCCTTATGATGAATCTTTCTGGGCAGAGAGAGAACAAACACATACACCCTTTTTAAAAAAATTAAGTTTGGCTGAAACACACATTTCAAGGTCATGTGATATTTTGTTTTGCTTGCCATTGTCCCTAAGGCCGAGGTGGGTTTCTAAGAGCTGCTTTATTTCTGCAGCCGGTTATAGGGTTCCTTTGGCTCAAATAAGCATTTCTGTAAGGAGGGCTGAGCTTTGGCCAGGGAAGCTGAAACCATCCTCCTTTTGATTCCCCACCTCCAGCCCACCCCCTGCCTCCTACCTGTCACAGTGTCTCCGCAGCTGTTCCCAGACCAGCAGAATCAGCCCTGTCTTCATCTGCTGCAGGTAGGGGCCCATGGACCCTGAAGTGTCAAGGAGGATGCAAACTTTGCTCTCCAAAATGGCACCAAACAGCCTGCGGCTCCCTGCTCGGAGGTGGGTGGTAACAAGAGGCAGAAAAGGAGTGAGGGGGTCTCTCCTCCAGGGTGGTCTTCCTCACTTCAGCTATTAGATCCCCTGTTTTGTAACAATTGTTTTCTGACTGATTACTTATCAGTTCACCGGGAGGCGCTCTTGGGTGTTATAAACAGCAAATGCTGAGAGATTAACTGAAAGGTTCGCAATACGAGTCTACCCAGAGGCACTTTGGGAGAAAGTCCTGATGATTGATTTTTGAGAAGTATTTGAAAACTCTAGAATGCACGATTCTACTCTAACACTCATGGGGTTGCCATGACAGAGATTCATCCATCAGGAAGATGATTGCTGAGGTGCTATTGGAGGGGGCAAGAGCCCGAGGGCAGAGTCGGTTAGAGAGTCTGGTTTTTGAAAGACAGAGATTTCAGCCCTGGTTCTGCGGCTAATGACTTGCTCAAGTGGGTACATTCACTGAGCTTCAGTTTCCTCATCTTTAAAGTTAAGTGATTGGACCAATAGTGTCATTGTATTGTTTGGGCTGGAAGAGATCTTACAGAGGATACAGATACGTGGGCAACGGAAATGAACAGAGCCTCTCTTGTGTGGCAGGCAAAGTCCAGTAGTGAACAAGAGAGAGTCTCTGCCCTCATAGAGCTTCCAGTTGGGCAAGAAAGACAGCGATTAAATGAATAATTAAAACCTCTGCTGTATCTTCATCTACCCTGAGACTCATAGCGACCCTGTGCGGACTCAATGGCACCTAACAACAACAAAAACAGGGTTCCCTAAGCTATAAGTCTATATGGGAACAGAAAACCTCATCTTTCTCCTGTGAAGCAGCTGGTAGATTCCAACTGCTGACTTTGTGGTTAGCAGCCCAATACACAGCCCACTACCCTATCCTACCTGGTTCCTTCTACTGGTTTAATCAATCTGAATTTTGTAAGAATTTGAGTTATGTTCAACATTTTTTCTCTCACTCTGTCAGGGTCAAAAGGCGCACTGGTGGTACAGTGGTTTAAGCACTGACCTGCTAACAATAAGGATCAGAGGTTAAAACCAACAGCTAGCTGCTCCTCAGGAGAAAAATAAGATTGGCTGTGTCTGTCAAGATTTACAGTCTAGGAAACCCTACAGCACAGTTCTCCTGTTTCCTGTAGAGTCTTTATGCGTCAGAATTGACTTAATAATAGTGAGTTTGGGTTTCTTTTTTGTTTTGATTTGTTTTGCTTTTTTAATTAGGGTCAAACTGTTGTGGCCATGATCAGAATAATCATTAATGGTAGCTGTTGTTGTTGTAAAGTGCCATCGAATCAATTCTGACCCATAATGACCCTGTATAGGTTTTCCGAGGAG